ATAAACAACTCTGTATATGTTTGTAGCACCACATTATGCAATATTTTAAAGTGGTTAGTATGAGAACGCGTCTTTGAATACCTTTCCAAACCGTTTTAATGTGAAGTTATACTACATATATCCAAGTGATTGAAGGCAATAGCTCGAGGCCCTTCTGTGAAAGAAGAGAGGAAGGTTTAGTCATTGGAGAGGCTGAAGTTTGCTGTGAAAAGTAATTCAAACCTTCAACTATTTCTCATATACTTAACCATATTGTGTCAGGACAATTTCAAAAATAAACAGCAGTTATGTCTTCCCCTCGGTCATGCAATAGCAGATTTCTCTCATTTTGCGAGTTCTTAATGGAAGGTGTGAAACCATTTGCATGCCAATAGCCCACCCAAGATCGGCGCTTCTTAAGTGTGCTTTTGGTTTGAATGAAATTTTCAAGAGTGGAGTGATCGCTTGGAGACATTTTGGGAAACTAATGAATGCCATTTCAGTAGACGTCCCGCGGCATCAAGGAAATGCAACTCCGTGAAAATATAATGGATGTAGTGTTTAGACTCCCTCCTTGCATTTCTTTCCCTCGAGAGGAAAACAAACACATTTTTGCCAGATTAGGCAACATCTGTTTTGACATCCGTACAGAATATTTAATAATAATGCAATTAGCAATTATGGTTGGCTGTGGAGCGCTGTGGAATAGCAACATTAATTGTTCGGAATATTTCATTTCTCAATGAGATGGCGGTGAATGGCCGCTTGCGACATAATGAGGTTCCGCATCACGCCGCGGGCAAATAATCAGTGTTCCAAATCAACAAAGTTATTGGAATTAATCAGGTGGAGCATTTGCGTTAAGAAGTGAAACAACAGCGAAAGGGCATCTGGCACGGTATTTTGCGCACGTGCCCGAAAAGTATCCCTGTCTGATTATGGCTAATGAACTCATCAGGCAAGTCTGCACCACAATTTAGACAGTGACACTCATTCATTTCTATTAACATCCCTGACATTCACTCCATCTTGTATGAATGCTTCAATATTCACAGTTGACTTGGGTTGCTCCTCAGCTTGCATAGCAAACACGTGTGGACAAATTGAAAGTGTGTGTGCGTGCGTGTGTGTGTGTGTGTGTGTGTGTGTGTGTGTGTGTGTGTGTGTGTGTGTGTGTGTGTGTGTGTGTGTGTGTGTGTGTGAGAGAG